CGTATATTTGTCCAATCTCTTCTTAAAGCTACCCTAGGTCCTAGCCTCGATCACCCTACTGGTAAGTGTGATGTTAAATAAGAACTTAAGAAAGTAGGAACACTGGAAAAAGGCCTGCTGGCCCATATTAGGCCGTTCCTTCACAAATCCAACCCACTAACAGAACAAATGCTACCCAAGCAATAAACTCAGGTGCAAGTCTGACTCAAATCCAACCCCTTTCACTTGTGTATTTATCCAGCCTAAATTTGAAAACTACCCAAGCATAGCTTTTAGAACATTGAAAAGGAGGAACACTGCAATAAGCCTGTTGGCCCATACTAGGCCGGTCCTTCACAAATCCAACCCACTAACAGAACAAATGCTACCCAAGCAATAAGCTCAGGTGCAAGTCCGACTCAAATCCAACCCCTCTCACTCGTGTATTTATCCAACCTAAATTTGAAACTACCCAATGTTTAAGCTTCGATCACCCTACTAGGTAGACCGTTCCACTCATCAACTATCCCTGTTACCAATGTTCATTTATACATTTTATTAGTGCCCTAGAGTCTTTATGGAGGGGGATTTCCCTTCCAAATAACCTCTCTTCCCTCTCTCCTCCTCCCTGTCTTCCATTCATCAACAACAGCCTTCAATAAAGGTAACTGTCATGTTGAATGTTCATTCTTTTGTGCATGTAAATCTATCTTTTAGGTAAAAAAAAAATTTTTTTGTTGATACTTCTAGGTGTCTGGAACGAATTAATTGGATTTACATTTCTTATGGGGAAAATTGATTCGAAAATCGTCCATTTCGATAATAGTCCCACTTCCAGGAACGGATTATGGACGATTATTGAGGGACCACTGTACTTTCAAATGTTGAAAAAACGTATATATACGTTTGGACCATTTACAGGTTAAAACAGCCCAGAGAGTTAAAATACACATACAGTACACTCCTTATTTATCTTAAAATATGTGTAGTCTTAATGTAGGAAGAGAGGTGAGTAGTATTTATTTGTAGGAAGACAGTGTAAGTAGCCGGTAGGTGTAGCCCGCCTGGGCTACACCTACCAGCTACCTACACTGTGGCCCAGAGCCATATTATTAGCATCAACATACCTTGTTCAAGGAATTTAATCGTTTCTAACAACTACCTTTAGATGCCATCATAAACGAAGGGAGAAGTAATGAATAATTCATGCTGAAAATTGTAAACAAAAGCGGAGTGGGGGAGTGGCTGGGCCAAACGCAGATTCATACACGTTTTCTCTGGTGCCTGACCAGAGAAAACATAATGTTGTCCCTCTGCCCAGCTACCACACAGGGCCACAAGTATTATTATCAGAGCAAATATAAAATATGGAATAAATGCCAGACAACAAGTTTACACTAACTTACATTAAGTTAGCAATAGAAACAGGCATTAAAAACACAATAAAAGATAAGATTCACACAGAGTACACTTATTGCTTATCTTAAAATAGTAATATTAATGTGTGAGTGGCAGGGTGTTCATTGAATAAAATCAGAATGGCACACCATCATCCTCTAACTTGGCACTTAGAGCAAGAGGCTTACGACTCCTCTTTTTATCACAGCTAAGCTTAGACGCCATTGTCAGTGAGAGCCAACTAGTTAACGAAAGATTAAACGAGAGAGAGAACGAGATACAGAGTTCAGACAATGTAAGAACACAAACTGAACAGGTAGTGGGCGATCACTTGGTCAGGCGAAATAAATGGTATTAATATGTGTCTACTTTTAGTTCATTCACGTACATTTGTAAGAGTTTGTAAAACTTTTACCTTACAATATTTTTTTTATTATAATAATTACCTCACAATACAAATGCTCTTACATTGTGTACAAGTTAGTACAGAATAAACAAACAGCAACACTCCCATTCTCTTGCAACACACCATTTTTAGAGTGAATGAAGTTGATAATATTATCATCATCATCATCATCATCATGAAAAGCGCTAAACCCAGAAGGGTCGGGAATTGCTATATACAGTGGACCCCCGCATACCGTACGCATCACATAACGTTCAATCCGCATACCGCTCGCTTTTATCGCAAAAATTTTGCCTCGCATACCGCTCAAAAACCCGCTCACCGCTCTTCGTCCGAGACGCGTCCAATGTGCGCCCTTAGCCAGCCTCACATGTGCCGCCGGTGGCATTGTTTACCAGCCAGCCTCCGCGGTAACATCCAAGCATACAATCGGAACATTTCGTATTATTACAGTGTTTTTGGTGATTTTATCTGCAAAATAAGTGACCATGGGCCCCAAGAAAGCTTCTAGTGCCAACCCTACAGCAATAAGGGTGAGAATTACTATAGAGATGAAGAAAAAGATCATTGATAAGTATGAAAGTGGAGTGCGTGTCTCCGAGCTGGCCAGGTTGCATAATAAACCCAAATCAACCATCGCTACTATTGGTGGTACACGCTGCTGCTGCTGCTGTTGTACCACTGTCAGCTGCTGCTGTTGCTGCTGTAGTACCGTCTGCTGCTGCTGTAGTACCGTCTGCTGCTGCTGTAGCATCGTCTGCTGCTGCTGTAGCACTGTCAGCTGCTGCTGCTGTTGTACCACCGTCAGCTGCTGCTGCTGTAGTACCGTCTGCTGCTGCTGTAGTACGTCTGCTGTGCTGTAGCATCGTCTGCTGCTGCTGTAGCATCGTCTGCTGCTGCTGTAGCACTGTCAGCTGCTGCTGCTGCTGCTGCTGTAGCATCATCTGCTGCTGCTGTAGCATCGTCTGCTGCTGCTGTAGCACTGTCAGCTGCTGCTGCTGCTGCTGTAGCACTGTTGTTGGTGTGGCTTATTGAGAATACCAAGAAACAATTAACCCCAGAGGATTTGCCACTCAGGATAACCCAAAAAAGTCAGTGTCATCGAAGACTGTCTAATTTATTTCCATTGGGGTCCTTAATCTTGTCTCCCAGGATGCAACCCACACCAGTCAACTAACACCCAGGTGAACAGGGAAAAATGCCTGGAACTAGTGCTCATATGGTGAATTTAAAGCCAGCAAAGGTTGGTTTGAGAGATTTAAGAATCGTAGTGGTCATACACAGTGTGATAAGGCTGTTCTGGAAGAAAATGCCAAACAGGACCTACAGTACTCAGGAGGAAAAGGCACTCCCAGGACACAGTGTCTCATCAGTCATTGCTGCATCTTCAATAAAGGTAAGTGTCATTTATTCTTCATTTAGTAGAGTAGTACATGCACAATATATATTGTGCATGTACTACTCTACTATTGTGCATGTATCCTTCTCTTTGTGTGTAGGAAAATGTATATTTCATGTGGTAATTTTTTTTTTTTCATACTTTTGGGTGTCTTGCACGGATTAATTTGATTTCCATTATTTCTTATGGGGAAAATTCATTCGCATACCGATCATTTCGCATAACAATGAGCCCTCTTGCACGGATTAAAGTCGCTATGCGGGGGTCCACTGTATAGAGTGAGGGCATACGAAAGGAATATTTTTCTTCAGTTATCCCCCAGTGTTTGACTAGAGAAAATATAATTCTTCCGACACTACCTATGCAGCCGCTTTGTAAACAAATATCATATTTACGCCAGTTTTTATTCTGTGAATAGCTTCCCACCTTCACACCCGTTGGCAACAACATTGGTCTACTCTGCTCAGTAACAAATTTCAAGTCTATTAAACCGAGTATTGGTTACTGGCCGTCTTCTTATCACCAGTGTCGAGGTTGGGAGACTACTCTCTCCCGTCTTTGTATTGGCCATACTCGTCTTACTCATGGATATCTCATGGAGAGGCGCCCTACTCCTCTCTCTGAGAATTGTCAGGTTCCATTATCGGTCAGCCACATTCCATTAGACTGCCCACTTTATCAACGAGCACGCAGAATATACCTCCGTCGTCGTCTTCGCTCTGCTGCTCTCTCTTTACCTTCCCTTCTCGCTGATGGACCCACCTTTCATCCGGACTCTCTCATTAACTTTTTGACAACTGACTGACTTCACAAACTCTGATGATACCTTCAGCCCTTTCTACCTCAATCTCTTGCTGCCCTGTACCCCCGCACTATCCCCTGCCCCGCTGTTTTTTGTAACCTACTGATCATCCCCCCCCTTCTGCCGCCCAATACCCTCGCTTCCTTCCCTGCCTTGCAGCGCTGTATAGCCTTGTGGCTTAGCGCTTCTTTTTATTATAATAATAATAATAATAATATATTAATGTAAAATAAGACATTTAATGTGCCCAAGAGTGATGTTTATTATGTACTATTGGCATCATGAGTAGAGAGAGACTTAACAATTTTAATGTGTACCTGCACACCAGCACAGTGTGTAAGTATATTTAGGTACAGATACACATAAGTATAAATATCAGAGTACATATGAAATATGCAGTAACTGTAAAATACTTGAAATTTTGGAAAGTTTCCAGACATAATAGATGTGGTCACAGAGAAAGTAAACACAAACCGGGTGGGGTGCGCCGTATTTGAAAGACCGCTTGCCGTATAGCAAATTTTGGTCATAAATTGACATCGCCATATTAGTGGAATGCAGTAAGGCGAAACACCGTACAGCGGGGCCCTACTGTACTATCAACCAGCCTTTTTATGGTAAGAATTTGTTTTATACATAGTTTTAGCTATAGCCCTATTTTTCTCATGTTTTTCACAGCACAAGTTGTGATATCACAAGTAGCTCAGAGTTCCAGGAATTATGGAAGTCTACTGTAACAAAAGAAATACAGAGGGCAATAGATGATGGTGTAACTGAGGTTAAAAGTGCATAGGGAAGTCTATTTTGCTGGGAAACTGAGGTATTTCCTTAAGATTGTTATTCCAAGAGGCTCATCAGATGATATACTGAAATCAGTTTTTCATATTTAAAAAGTAGTATTATAGGATTGTTTAGGAATTGAAAGTTTAAAACTTTTTAATTTTATGAAAACTTAAGCTGTTTAAATTTGAAGATCTGGTGTAAATCCATTTAACTTGTTAGTTCTTTCCAATCAGGTGATGCGACGAGACTTGGTCGAGTCTGGCAGAGGAGCACCGGGGCCATTGGAAAAGAGATGACACAGAGACTCGTGGGCTAGAACCAGAAGATAACAACAGCTTTAGAGCTTCTTCACTGCCCTGGACATACAAAGGAAGGCCATTAAGTTATACCTAAATTGTCAATACTCAGCTGGGATGTTCTGTCTTTGAAATGACTAGTGGCCCTCAAAGACTTGGGAGAGGTGTCAGCTGTGGGTACACCAAGTGAACGTTTGTGACAATTTTGCATATGCAAAGCTAGTTCTGCTTTGTAATTCATAATCAGTGCACTATGACAGTTCAGGAACTTTTAAGGGAATCGTATAATGACATAATGTGGTCCCTGGTGAAGATATGTGCTGTGTAAATGCACTTTAAAATACAGTATATTATGAGCATGATGCTGATATAGTGTACCGTCACAGTAAAAGTAGGTCTTTGTGAAGCATCCAATGAGACTCGCTAGAGTTTACATATAGAAATAAGTACTGATTTTAGTTGGTTAACCATGATTTCTAGCAAGCTTCTCACTGACACCTCGAGACCCAAGCAGTGTGGATTCCAAACTATTTGCTAAAATGAGGAACACAAGTTACTTCATTTTTACAAACTTTAGGCTATACCAGTCATTTACATTTTTGGAGACTGTCGTATTGAAATGCTAAATTGGCATGATTCCTTAGACATTTGACAGCTTCATAATGTAGTGAAGAAAAATGGTTCTGGTAAATGGTAAAGTACAAATACCACTCGTAGTCACCTATGATGTGTGTTGTCCATTATGAAGTCCATACCTGTTGGATTTTCATAAGATGTTGCCTCTTGCTATTTAAGATGGTCGGGTAAAATAAAAATTAGTTATGTGATTGTTATATGATCATGTAATTGATAGTTTAAGGACAACAGTTTTGTATAGATAATGTGTCACCACTTTTTGTCTGGAAAGCTTGTCATTTCAGAAAATACTACTAATGTTAGATGTGACTTTTGGACCAAGTTGAAACTTTAGAAATGGACTATGCTGAATTTAGAGCAAGCATTTTTTTGAATGCTGAAATAATTTCCTAGATTTTTTACTTAAAATTTTAATTTTGCACTGCTTTCATGTACATATTTATTGTAGCCATTTTTAAAAAATTATAGCTTAATGTAAGAAAAGGTTTCTGTACTTACCACTGTGATGCTGAGAGGCTCAAGCTGTCTTTTTAACTGAGCATCATATATAGAAAAGTTCCTTGTTTCATACATTATCTGATGAAATATTTTATAAAAAATGGAGCAATTTTATAAATATATTTTTGTTTCTTATTCAGCCTCTTTACGTTGATCCATCTTTTAAGTAAAATGTTACATGGAACATATACCTTAATACAAGTAGCCTTGCTTGAATGTGTACTTTTGATGTGAAGTTTGGCATATCCATTATTCAGAATGGAGATATCTGTATGCATACTGGCATAATGCTTGTTTTTAAATATAATAATGATGGATATATCTGCATCTATTTTGATCTAAAGACAATTGGGTGAACAGTTACAAAGAATACTTATCATATCAGTTTTGTTTTTTGCTGCTGAAAGTTCGTAAGCAAAAATTTTTAATCTGTTTTGGGAAAACGAGTTGGCATATAATTTTTAGTTTTTGGTTTTATATTTATTGTAAATGAATGCCTTGTTGGGATTTTAAATTATAATTAATTTTCAGATTTTTTGTTTTAATGTTGATTTTAAAGAAATATATTTGGAATTTATTTGTTGGGTTCTATACAGACAAAAAATTTTTTGTATTGTGTACTATCCAAATGTGATATTTGTAAATCCTTAATATTGGATTGGAAAGGTGACAATGTAAGGTATGATGAATTTTTATTCCTTTGCTTTTCATTATTTTCACAGTAACAAAATGCTGCCAGATAGATTTCAAAATCAAGTTATACAAAGCAGTTGTATGTCAATTTACACTGAATCCTTCTCTTGCTCAAACTACTGTTTTTGTGCTCCTGGCACCTAAAGGTTAATTTATTTTAAATATTTTTGCCTAGTTTCCTAGATACTTAGAAAGTAGGTCAATGTAAACCATTAGGACTTCTTAAGTTTTCAATTTATTTTAGTATATAGCAATGTATTAAATAAAACTGCAAAACATTAAATAAAACAAGCTTCCAGCTCCTCCCATAATGTAAATTTTATTCCTTATGCTCAACCGTGTTTAATATGCATGATAATTTTTACTATTAAAAGACATTTAAATTGTTTTTCATATTAGTGTTTTTCATCCCTATTTAGTTAATTATTTAATCCACTTTAAAGACTATTGATTATTATGCATTATTGAAAAGCCTATCTTCAATACTTGATTATTTCCTTGTGTACATAATATTGAGAATGGCAGGAAAATTGGTCACTAAAAATTCAACTTGGTCATAGATTTTCCTTTGAAGTTCATAATTGTAATTTTTTTCCTTTGTGACAGGAATGAAGTGACTAGCTTCCCAAATAAAAAATGGTTGTAAGTAGAATTTAAATGAAAATTTGTCCTAGCTTTATTTGGTACGTGCCACTGTCAAATTCTAAAGCAAAATTGAATGTTTGTTAAATTAGTCTTCATAAGTATGTACAAGTTTGTATAATGGCACCAGGTATTTTGTGAAATCTCGTATCTTTGCTGTGATATGCTGTTTGCAGGTTTTATACATGATTTTTAGAGGTAAATCTTGTACTTTGAATTTCTTTGCCAAATTTCCGTGATTATCCTGGTTGTCATGGCTTTGTTCAACATATTTATACACTGCATTTTGAAGGAGAGAACAGTTTACTAAATACGAGCAAATTATTTCACCCTAACTTTTGGTAGTTTTAATTTTGCTTCTAAATTTTGTGATTGAGTACAGTACTTGGTTAATTTTTTGGTTGAGTTAATCTTTTCATTTTTCATCTGAGGCCTTTTTGTCATTAGCATCCTTGAAATCAGATATGTTGGTGACTAATTACCAAGTTGTACTAAGAATTTGGACCAATTGTTAGTGGGTGATAGTAAAGAGGGATCATGACTATTATCACTGGACTAGTGTTTAACGTTAGAGCGGAATAGATGAAAAAATTGGTTTCGGAAGGTCATCAGTATGCCAGATGGGGAGATCCAAGTTTTCTTTAACAGATAATCAATGAGGTTCGACTTTGCTGCAATTGAGGAAGAAGTCTGCTGTCTTATAGGTTGCAAGCTATCAGGGAGTATAAGTACAAACTGTTGCTTCTGAAGAATGAATTTTGATATGCTCAGTGACTTGTGAGCCTTATTTAGTGTCCCATTTAGGCTTTGTTATTTTCACATTTTTGCATCAGTATAAAGTTGACATAATAACATCTGCTGGCACATGATCCTCAATTGCACCAAATACTGTAATACACAATCACTACATGATGTGTGTCAGATTTTCATCCTATGATAGGATAATGCTCAGTCTCTTCAGTCATCTCCCAACTGTCATGTGTGTTGCCTATCTTTCTTAGAAGATTATGTATATGCATCTTTTAAATATATATGCTGTATAAATCAACTATATGTACAAGATATGCACATATTAATAAATATACATACATATATTCATATAAACCAGGAAGTACAGATTGTCACCAGGCTTAGTGTTCAAAATATTTGGACTAGAATTTTGTACACTACAGTACTTTCTTACAGGTGTGGTTCTTTTTCCTCTATGATCTTCAATTTATCTTGTACTATCACCTTCCTCATTGCCCATGCATTTATTTAATGACTACTGTGCCTCTACCATCTGTTCTAATTTATTCTGTACTAGTTAAATTTTTTTATCACCTTCCTCAGTTGCCCTTACATTTATTGGCTACCACTGTGTGATTATTTTCCTTATGAAAACTTCTGTGATGTTTGCATGATGACTCTCTTGTTACCCTATTCAGTTCTTTGGTCTCTGTTTACTCTGTGGTAGAAAAAAGATAACATTTCGTCTTCTTGATTAAGCTTCTTACAATAATAACAGGTCTCCTTTTCTGTTGTGTTTTTCTGCCCCTTGTCTACTCAGATGTACTCTAACTCTTCATGCTGTCTTAGTGTGAATTCTTTTCATATTTTATTTCTAATACTTTTTAAGCCATGAGGTACAATTAAGGCTTATTCTCTGATACAGTAGGGCCCCGCTTTACGGTGTATTGCTAATATGGACGTTTCAAATTATAACCAAAACTCGCTATACGGCTCCCCCTGTCTTTCTACTACGGTCATTGCTCCCCACCCGGTTTGTTTACATTCTCAGTGAGCACGTCTCCATTATGTCAGGAAACTCCAAAATTTCAAAGGGTTTTAAAGTTATTGTGTATTTTATAGATACTCTGATAATTATACTTATGTGTAAACCCCCCCCCCCCCCCCTTTTTTTTTTTTATCATCAGTCATCTCCCACCGAGGCAGGATGACCCAAAAAGAAAGAAAATCCCCAAACAGAAAATACTTAATTCACACTTTCACCCCACTCATACGTAATCACTGTCTTGGCAGAGGCGCTCAGATACGACAGTTTAGAAGTCCCTCCAAATTAACAATATCCCAGACCCCTCCTTTAAAGTGCAGGCATTGTACCCATTTCCAGGACAAGTCTGGCTAACCAGAGGCTACCTGTACCTAAATAAACTTGCACACTGTGCTGACATGCAGGTACACATTAAAATCACTAAGTGTCTCCCTCTAGTCTTAATGCCATAGTAGTACTACTAATAAGTAATAATAGTAATCACTCTTGGTCACGTTAAATGTCTTATTTTACATTAAAATAGACATTTTCATTAATCCATCTATGATATTTTCTTCAAAATTATATAAGAAACGCATTACGTAGCATATAAACATGATACATACACTCACAGTACAATTAATTTTACATAAATATGAGGTGTGGTAGCTGGGCGTTTTCTCTGGTTCAGCACCAGAAGAATGCTCATTACTTCTTCCTTCGTTTATGGTGGCATCTAAAGGTAGCTGTTAGAAATGATTAAACTCGGTGAACAAGGTATGTCAATGGTAATATGGCTCTGGGTCGCACTAAATATCGTATAACTACGTAGGCTGGTGTAGCTATGTAGCCAGGTGGAGTACGTAGCTACATCTATCATCTACCTACACCTGACTTCCTACAAGTAAGTACTACTCACCTCTCACCCTACATTAAGACTACAAATATTTTAAGGTAACTAATGAATGTATTGTGTATGTATTTGACTTTATTGCTTTTTAATACCTA